GGGAGGGGGGCAGGAGACGGACGAGACGGCGAGGGAAGAACGCAAACGAAAAAAGACGGACCGAGTGGCGCGATACGTGCCGGATTGAATTTCTTTTAGCAAGTTCCCCCCCCCCCAACGCTGCACCATTGCACCAACCCCCCACTAGTGATGACGTACCATTACAATNGATTCGTTTTGGGTGTTTAAGCGTTATGCGTGACTTGATGCCGTGATGGAATGACGAGTTCAAGCACGCCCCCGATGAATACATCACGACTTACAACACGTTTTTCAACACGTCTGCACGTCTGTACCTACCCCTACGGCCCGTCATGGCCGAGCTGCTCTACACTCCCATCACACACAACTGAGCCGCCCGAAATATCGATCACGCTAGCGGATGACACGTCGTCTACGAGATTCGCGTCGAGCTTAGTTTGGAGTATCGCTTTGCGGCGATCAGCAGCTGTCACCGATGTCCAGCGCCGACCAAGAACGAGGCGCCCGTCACGCAGAAGACGAGGACGCCCGCATCAACGAGTTGGTGGAGATGAGGGTACAACAGCCACTGGCCGACATGAGGCGGCAACAAGACGAGGAGGAGCAGAGGACAGAGAACGTCCGGACCGGAAGCGAGCACGAGACACGCCACCAGCAACAAGCTGGGCGGCCATCGGCGAACCCGGCCGTAGATTACATCGCCCGCACTCTCGCAGACGCCATGTCCAGCCGAATGCAGATATCACCACGGGACATCGGTAGAGTATCCAGTACAGGAGGAAGTATTCGCATGACAGAGGTTAAGCGCCTAGCGCCTTGGGATGGGATTTTCAAGCAAGGGGAAGATGAGCAGGCTAAGTTTTTTTTTTTTCGATCGAACACGGTAGCTATGTTTGCGCAGGAAGGAGTGCGTGACGTGGTACTGACTGAAGAAAAGATTCCAGTCGGAAAAGAAGGAGTGAGCATGGAGGAGCTGCGTAGGGTGCATTCGAGTGACAGCGTAGAAAAGGAAATTACGGCGTGGAACCTGCTGATCACGTCTGTAACATACATGCCTATCCTCACCCAGATCATCGCTGATGGTAGTCCAAGTGGAGGTTGGAAAATATTCCTCAACTATTACGAGCCGCGTACCAGAGCCGAGAAAGAAAGGTTGTCATCCCAATACCACGGTCTTGAGATGAAAGTAGGAGAGACCCCCCAAGAACACTTCGGGAGATTTGCTGTTTTGCGCAGTAGGCTAGCCTCGCACGGTGTTATTTTCTCCGACGAAGATGCCAATGCCCGCATGGTATACCACCTTTCCGACGAGTACATGATGGAGAAGAAGATTCTGACTATGTCACCGATTCCCCCCTCGCGCGAGAAAATCGAAAAGGGTGTACGAGATGCCCATGCGGAATTGCTTCGCCGTCGGGAGGAGGAACCAAAGAATGGCGCGGAGCACGCGTTCGTCGCTTCCGGTGGCATCCGGGGCGATGGACGTGTCCGAAATGGGTCGAGTGGAAACGGCGGGGGACAGGACGGAGACGGAGGCGCCCGGAGTCGGAACAGGAGCAGAGGGAGAGGAAACAAAAAGCAGGAGAGAGGAGCCGACAGTGACCACTGCTACCTACATCCGCACATGTCCCACACCAACGCCCAGTGCCCCACTCAACGCGACCGTCAGAAGAAACAGGAGCAACAGCAGCCTCAGCAACAGCAGCATCAGCAACAGCAGCCTCCCCAGCAACATCCCCAGCAACAGCAACTTCATGGACCGCCGCCGCAACAGCCGAGCTACAGTGGGGGGGGGTGGGGCGGTAGGCCTCAGCACGGACCTCACAGCGGCTACGGAGGACAGCATCAGCACAGGTATACAGCTCCCCCTCGTCCGCCACAGTCGCCGTGGCGGCCTCCGTACGGGCATGCAAATGTGACGCATGCGTATAGTGCTATGCCCTACGGGGGGCCCGCGTATGGTAGCGAGTATGGGGGGCAGGAGAAGCAACAGCAGCAGCAGCAGCAGCAGCAGCAGCAGCAGCAGCAGCAGC